AAAAAAAAAAAAAATTATGCATTTAATTAAAATTATCGAAAAATCAATGCAATCTAATCTTCTCTTCAGGGTTCGTTGTAATTGGCTCCTACAGTCAATAGACATATATATAATTGTGAGAAAAAGAAGGGAAAAAGAATGTGAAAATGAATGATATGAGTGAGTAAATGAACGTACGAATGAACGGATTCCGCATGAGCGGTATGAGATGAATGGAAATTTTAAACATYAAAGAAAAAAAAAAAGATTTTAAAATAATAAAGGCTTTTAAAAAAAGAGAGTACGAGAATAAAACTCACAGATCTGCAGTGTTCATTTTCGTGCATGACTTTACATCCCACTACGAACAAATACCTTTACACGTACGTAGGCCTAAACGTGCCATCAACTCGTAAATTACTACGGAAGTGATGCACGTAGCGGTGAGATGGGCGGTCGATTCTAACCAAAGCAACACGCACGCGATAGATCCGCGCAATAGGCGCCTTATTAARCAAGCACTTTGTTTATTGCTTTGAAAGCAGTTCGAGAATTTTCTCTCGGTTGCTTGGTTTTCCTCCCTCGAACCTTGCTTAACATAGATATCAACACTTTTAAATTTCGGGCGACATAGAGTCTATGAGTATACGTAAAGAACCTCAACTTAGCCTAATTACGTGGCTGCTTGATTATCATCTAGATTCATAGTAAAGTATTCGCCGTTCGAGGCTTTTCTCTTGTTTCTTAGGTTTTGTAAGCCTTTTCTTTGTTTACATCAACATTTTAAATGTCAGTCGGAGTCAGTTGGACTGACTAAGTGTAAATGCCATGGCCACTGGGATTTACTTATCTTCCAGTGGAGAAAGGAATCCCAGTATATCCTTAAATAACTTATGATTCCCAATACACGTTGATTCTAATTTCGTATTCCACCTAAAGCAAAGATCGTGGTTTAAAGTTCGAGTTAAGAGTGACGTTTACTCCACTATGTTGCCATGTAGAAGATTAATCTACCTCAATTACTGAAGTTCCCATTTTTTTGAATCTTTTGTGGCGAACGTTATAAGGTTTTGAAGGGAATGAGGTTTGTCCCCCACAAAGAAATGATAAAGCAGTTCTTTTTGACCACCTTGATGAGATTGATTTTCAAATGCATGAATATAAAGAAAAAAATTCTCGCTTTCAAATTTTAATACCTTGCGAAACGTAGTAAAGGATATTGCCCCTTCGTTGGCTGTTATTTTAGGCTGTTCAAATGGCATTTCTTTTTGGTTTCTTGTTAACTGTTTTTCTACAAGTACTAAACCAAGTATAATAATACAGACACAATTTTAATTGCTATACTAACATCATACATTATATTTTAGGCCATAGACACTCTGCTTAGAAAATAATTGAGTTCCTTCTCATACTTTACAAAGCCATGTATGCGAAATCCAGTATCTTGACGAACGTCAAAACACCCTCAATACCTGCTATCCATTGGTAGAATTTTCACTCATAAGATCTGACTACTATGTATGTTTGTCTAGATATCTCATAAAGATCAAGCTCAATAATTTAGTTCATTCAGTACATGTCAAAACTGCCGCTATTCCAGGAAGCCTTTAGTGCAGACAGACAGTTTAATGCCCTTGTAGATAAGCGCTCTATTATCTTATTATTAGACTATTTATAGCTAGTAAGCAGATCAATGCAAAGTCTTTCTCAACAGCAAGCAAATACGCCATACTTGCCTCATTCAAACATTTGAAGACCTCTTTTTCAGCACGCAAAGTCTCGCTGACATGCAACACCAAGCAAACTAAGCCCTACTTCCACCTTTATTGCAAAACAATTCAAGTTTAACTATTCCTTTTTTAATACAGAACTTTCTCTATACAGCTATTGTATTCCTATACTAAGTAATATCGAAGTTTTACCGCACAAATTCGTGCAAGTCGCCTCCAAAGTTATTTCCGTCAATAAATCAAAGCTAGTGAGCGTGTAATGGGGCTACAATACACAATAGTGGGAAAAATTTATTTATTTTATTGTCTAGTGCATTTCACAATAATGGAAACGGCTTTTGGCTATTAAAGTCAGAGAAAGCAAAACAATTACTGAAAGTTGTCAAATGTAATTGAACAATTCTATGCATTTGATGATTGGGTTACCAGTTTGCTCACTAGGTGTTCGAAAATGGCCTGCCGTGAGCTTTATCAACATTTCAAACTCTCTTCTTAAAAACATTAAAAACCACATTTACCTGTCTTTGGAATTTATTTTATTTAGCCACTTGGAACTTGTTATTCGATTCTAAAGCGTAATTTACTGCTGAGATTTTTTTCTAGCAGTTTTGTAAAATGTGTTTTGCCTGAAGTTTTCAAAACATCTAAACTGGTTTGTTTTTTTTATAGCGAAAACGTAAATAGTAGACAAGAGTGCCTAAGCATGCCTATGCGTCTAAATGTAGAATAAYATGATACGTTAGCAATACAACGTAGCATAAGCTGTTAAGGTGTTTAAAAAATCAATTAAARCGAATAAAAAAATCGATTTTTAGTAGAATTTGACAGTGAGTTTAGGGAAGCTTTAATTCTAAGTTATCTTAACCTAAACTACCTTTCTTGGTATTTCTATTTCATTTTTAAAATTAAGGGGGGAAATACTTAATGATATTATTATTCTTTAATATGGTAGCACTAAAACTCACCAACTATTTCATTATTATTAACCAAAAATGCACAATTTTTCGCTCTCAAACGTTTGGCATGCATAGACAATTGGGAGTTTTTCTCTATATAATTCATTCGGTAACTATTTGAAAAAATATTCGAATAACGTCTTACTCACTTTTTTTAAAGACAGGCTGTGTGTTGTATCACCCTTGGAAGAACAGATGTTTAAGCGGTTTTCGATTTTCCTCTYATACCGCTGCCACCAATTTTTGGTTTAAGGGTTTAAAGCTGAAAAGTAAGGAAAATAGTGAAAACGAACGGTTTTTTATTGAATTTTAGTGGGTTGACCGACCACCAAGAGGGCTTTGAAAAAGACATTACTAGTGGGCAGGTGCGTGTGTATTTGATAAGCCGTGCTTGACAGACAAAACAAAATACTGGGTTGTTTTAAGTAAATCAAAACCATGACAGCGATAAAATGCAAGTCTTCAAACTCTAGAATCTTCTAAAAAATGAGAACTCTTTCACACCTTAGCGGGAATCGTTACAATAGAAAAAAGAGGTATCAAAAAATGTTTGATTCTCATCCGGTGCAGTGTTTACAAATCAAATGGTTTAACTTTATACAAAATAAAGGTATTTACTTCCAGTTTGAATCAATTATTCTTGACTAATGAAAAACTGTGAGGGTCCGAAGTTAGCTGAGCGGATAACTAAACTCTACGAGAATGAAAATAAAATTAGAGGAAACTGTCGGAAGTCCACATAGAGCTTAGCAAATAGTCAACATAGAAAATATCCGTCAAAAACCGGCAATAATGGAATGAAAAGTCCATCCTTTAAATATTATAAATGCGGAATTATTTGTTTAGAATCTGCGACTTTGCTGCGCTGATGGCTTGGTATTCTCCGGTTTACTCAAGGTTTGATCGTGTCTGATGATAATCACTTTCTTTAAATCAATTCAAACCATATTTCATTTGCTTCATTAAAAGACTGGTTTCTTAATGTTGGCGTCAGGCGTAATCTTTAATAATAATCCGGTTTTCTTTTGTCGTTATGCATATGGATAGATCTGGTCTGAAAATATTCCTTGTTGAAAACATATATGTATATTTCGTTTAGTTTTCGTCGTTTATTTTAAAAAATATTCCTTTTTTGTTGTTGTATGTTTTAATTTCTGTTGGTGTTTAATATTGTTATTGCTACTGCTGTTGCTGTTGCTGTTGTTGTTTTTTTCAGTCGTTGTTGCTGTTCGTGCTGATGTTGTTACCGTTGTCGTTGCTGTTACTGTTGCTGTTGTGGCTGTTGCTGTTTTTGTTGATGTCGTTGCTGTCGTTGCTGTTCTTCTTGTTGCTGATGTTATTTATTTTATTTAGGTAGTTTAGAAACAAAACGTAACGGTAAAAAGAACACTTTCAAAGCCAATACAGACAGAAAGTCAGGAAAAGCAGTTGRAAACATAAATATCGCAAATGGCAACAAGAAAGGCAGGAAATAAAGGTTTTGTACAAAACGGTATGTAAGATCAAAAAGAATCGATATGGAAACTGATTATTTAAAAAAAAGCATATCTAGACATTATTAAAGCAATAAATCCCTAGACAAATCATAAATCATGAATTATACTCACACCATTCTTTATAAACATTCAGGCCCTTGATGATTTTTGTTTAAATGTATTTTTTTATCTCTCTTTCACTAGTCCCATGCATTTTTTWAATTTCAGTTTATTCAGGTTCGACTTTTGTAATTTTAATCCGACGTAGCGGCTTAACAAATCTTTTTTGAAAAATTTTGTTTAATAAATTCACATGAAACACTAAATCTCAGTAATCAATTTAATTTGTTAAAATCAGTCAACAATTTCAACCAGCTAACTAAAACCATGGTATTCATGAAAACGAATTAATCTACGGTTATTAGGCAGGGGTATTCAAAAATGATCCTTTTATCGAAGTTTGTAATTTAATCAGTTATGTTTGCGAAAGCTATAATACTAAACTCGACGTTTAGGTTTAAGAGAGATAAGTAGCGCCTATTGAGAAGGCTTTAATTCCAGCCATTCGTAATCAAATTTAGGTCATACTTCCTAATTAAATAATATTAACTGATTCTTATATTGTTTATTATCAAAGTAGATTGGCTTCCCTGGCGCCATGGGTATTAATTTGTAGTTAATATCTTGATATGGAAAAAATTAGAAGTAGTCTTAAGGAGGCTGGAAAGTGTTTTGTGCCTTCACATACACTTACAATTATGAACTAAAAAAAATTAATATGGCTATAATATGACAGCAAGTAAACCTGGAAAGCCAAAGACTATAAACCAAAGATCACAATGAGCATGAAAAAATGACGTAGACGTTGCTATGACAACATCAGAGCCCTTGGTGTGCCATCAAAAATGTTTATATAAAAAATCATAACTCAGGAACCAAATGGTGATTTTTTTTTAAAAACCGGAATATTTAAACTTTGTATCGTAATCTTCTCTTTGGCAAAAAAAGAAAAAAAAAATCTGTAATAGGAAATTCGTAAAAATCAATAAAATTTGTTTGGAATAGTTCCCTCTTACAGAATTTTAAAAATTTTTCAGTTTGAATATTAAAATTTATAGAGCGCGCGCGTAAAACCGTATCGAGCCTCTTTAATTTAAGATTATTATCTACATCACCGAAAGTCTTCTTTTTTAACACCTTTAACAAAAAAAAATATTATTTGTTCAACCTAGTTGTATTAAACATGTTTTACCATTCCCATCCATTTATCCGTTCGTTTGTTCGTTCGTTCGTTCGTTCTTTCTTTCGTACAACTCATACCACTCGTCACACATTCATACGATACGTGCACATCTCATAATATTGCGTGACACTTTCTTACATCTCATGCGCATCTCATACAAATGCGTGACATTTTTTTACATCAAATGTGCATCTCATACTACTTTTCTGGTCTTTCTGACACTTTTCTATGACACATGCGCATCTCGTACTCTTGTGTGACACTTCTTAAACACTCATCTTATACTACTGCCCGATATTTTTTCAAGTGTGCGCAATGACTTCTCTTACTCATCTTCACACGTTCATATAAACAAGTTGCCTTTTATCGTATAATACCACTTTTTAATATTTTCTTCTCTCTTCGAGCTATAATTGTTTCTTTATCCTCTTTTGAACATATCATTCCACTTAGATGACGCGTTAAAATTACGGACACGCGTCGAAACTTTACAGACACCTGTTTAAGGTGGGTAGATTTTTTCAACACAAATCATCGTCTTCCGACCGTAATCAGTAACATTCAACTATTGCAACGAATTAATTTGGTCGCAAATGACGCTATAACAAGGAAATTGGAAGTTTTTGAATTGCGTTAGTGTTTGCGACAGTATGACTAAAATGACAATTATTCTTCACAATGTTATCAAAAGATATTGGTGAAAAAATAACTTCCATTCTAATTGAGCAAAAAGTAAAGCGAACAAAAGGCACAATAGTGACATAAGGGACAAAAAGTGAGTCGAAATCAAAATCCTAGTCTTACGAGACTTACGAGGCTTATGCCGTGAACACGAAAGATTAAAACGTCGTCAATATGATCCTTCGTAAAATAATCATGAATGCAAAATAAAAAACATCCAAATACAAAATATATCACATTTTTTCTCGATGGAATTTGTGGCATTTCTTTCTTATTTCCATGTTAGCCTCGATTCGAGACAATTTTAAGAAGGCTGCATAAAATYCATTGAGGTATAAATTTCTCAAATGTTGCCTCCTTGAAATTACATTATTTATCCGGCTCTGATCTTTTTTGAGCCTATCATTTAAGGTATTTTAGCCAAGCGTAAACCAATTGAAGACAAGCCTAAAGGCCTAGTTATACGACACTTAGAACGTATGGCCTATTGTGAAGGTTTGTTAATTGAAAGTTATTGCACGCGTAAAGCTATCCTAAAGAGTTAATCTGCGTTTAGTAGGCGAATAGGCCCGCAATCAYATGTAAAAAGACATACGTAAAAGGTATTTATTAAATGAAATAATATCCTCCTATCGCTATCTGTAAGCAGTGTATTGAATCATTAGGCAATAATTTGATTATAATCAAAAGCTTTTAGAAATAGATTTCTGTTGATTTTAGTGACGCATCTTTTTAGGTTTTTCGACAAAATTAATGAGGAAGAAATCAAGAATCGTTAAAGTTAACCTAATACGTCTCATAAATGAAAATCCGACGTTTTTAAAACATTAAAAAAAAAAAGAAAAAAGAGGAAAAGGCTATAAAAATTAAGGTGTAATTTTATACAAAAGAATCAACCAAAAGCGCTGTTAAAAAATATAACCTTTTAATGCTCGTATTATCATTATATATAACTTAGAGGTCACAATTACTAAATCACGATTGGCTGATTAGATTATTTTCTTTCAATTCGGTAAGAGTTCAGTTACTCCATCTCGCGTGCGCAGCAAGACGCTTGAATTATGAATTGCGCTCTATCTTGTAAAGAACTAATCGAATAGTTCCTTGTAAAGGGTTAATCAAGAATTAATTTTACTTGYGTTTTCGAACTTTTCTTATTACAAATAAAACCGACACTGGAAAGGCGAAATTCGTCTTTTGAAAAATAAGGCTTTCCTTTTAGAAAAAAAAAATCATATATTTATGACATATACATATTTCAAAAAAAGGTTGCATCGCYAAAGGTAATAAGCGATCGGCAATAGACAATAGGCCATAGGTGAAAAACAATAAGAGATAGGTCATGCCAATACTTTTCTTAAATTCAAAAGTCACCGAAATGAAATGAAAAGGAGTATACGAAAGTATTATACTTTAAATATTTCGTCTAAATATGTTTTCAACTTTAAAAATAGGGACTAAATAAACTAAAATTGACTGGAAATAAAGAATAAAAACAGAGCCGACACTCGAACCAAGAACGAGTCGGGATTTTTGTCATTTTTTTAAAATGCAAAAATACTGTATGTAAATTATTCCTAGAGCCATTGGATTAAAAATGAGATCTATTTTCAAATTTTCAATTGATCACTAGGTGTATTTGAATTCAATGAATGTCTCATTTGAGGGGGTTATAAACAGAAGAATGGTCAAGAAATAATAATCAATCAACACCGTTCGAGTGTTCTGTGCCCCTCATTGTTCGAATTGAATTTGCTTTAAATTTTAGTACTCTTCTGATATATATATATTTTTGTAGAAATTCACATAACTTCCAAAAAAAAAATTTGAATTTTTAACTAGCCTTATGAGTTGGATTTCTGTGGAATACTTCGACTTAGGTTCCGCTTTTCAAAAAAATAAAGACACAAGATGTGTTTACGATGCATGATTTCAAAAGCGAACTTTTGTGCTAAGGATACAAAAATATATATTGAAACCTTTTTTTTCGAGATCTGGAATTTAAAAAGACTCTTTTTCGAAAACCGAATTAGCAGATGTTGAATGTCGAGCTATGACAACTGACAAGCAMTGGAAATATATTGAAATCATCTTTACCGCAGGCATATTCAAAAAAATCGGAAAGAAAAGTGAAATTTTACAATTTTCTTTTGCAAAAACCATATTATTTTATTATTAAGCGAAACTGTTCACTTGTTAAGGCAGACACCCATAAAAACACCTCCAAAAGTAAAGCAAAGTTAACAAACTACGAAAATGCATATTTAAGATGATCGAGTGTTCTTGTGAATATCGCGCAACTATTTCCACCTGTAAAAAGGTCATGGTGGTAAAGTTTTGGCTTTTCGATTTCGGTATCTCAAAACGTCTTTACAATTATCCTTCAAATTCAAAGCCGTTCTTTCGTAAAAAAA